CAACTTAGCTTCTTCATGTGCATTTGTACACATCGGTCCGGTAGGTAGATAGTTGAAGCTGATACCAAGATGATAATGAATAGTTGAATTTCTTTGAGAGACACAGTCGAGAGCTAAATTCACACCGACATTGCTGTACAATTGGAAATTCCATGTTTATGGACCAATACCCGAAATATCCCTACTGAGCAATGAGCATGAGCTTACGATAAAGACACAATCCGTGCCACCACTGAAGCTTCCGTCAACAGACCAACCGAAGACGGGTCGTCGCCATGCATTGTATTACATATTATTCATTTCAAGTGCAACCCCAGACAATGTTTCATGCATGCTTAATCGATAATAAGTTGGTGGGAACCCCCCGTTGAAAACGAGGACTGGATAAGGATAGTCCAATCACGACTAGCTGGATCGACAATAACAAAGAAGACATTGTCGATCCAGTCATGTTTGCAATCAGTAATGCAAGAAACAAGTGTAGTTCTCCTCTTTGTTCATTTCGCAGTTTACCGTTGTTTTTCACCAATTTTGTCCTTGTATTGGCTTTCTCTTTGCGAAGAAGATGTACTCATTTGTGTATAAGACACGCAACCTTGCTCCACACACAGAGAGCAAAGTACAGGCTGACTTCACCCATCTGTCTGATTCATTGCCATTCATCAAGGTTTTTCATTGATCATATACAGCCTGTACACCACAATGGAGAGCCCGTCGGTCAGCGAGATGACCATTTCAGCTCTACACAAACTCAACGACTGTCTGCAACACGCGACACTAAGAGAATGGGCAGAGCAGATGAAGACATACTTTGAGAAGAACTGGAGACAGAAACTCCGAATCTGCGCCACCTCCAACGGGATCTATGACGACAGCGGGATGCATTCAGACGAATTTGTCCGACCGCATGCTGTTCGACGTTTGAAAAAGCTGATTGAGGGACTAGATGAGTGTATTGAGACATCCACGAAGCCTGAGGAGTGTCTGTTTCCAGGCTGTGCTGACCAGTCCCGTGGGAGCAAAGAAGACGTCGAGTCATCAGAACCCGGATGGGATGAGTTTGGCCCTAAGATTGAACGGCCGGTGAGGCCTGAGGGGGGGCTCAAACTTACCGAAAAACTAAAGGAAGCCCAGCTGAGTCTTGAGAAGCTCGGTTTACTCGCAGCAAGAATGGCAGATCTTTATAATGAGGCCCGCGACTATGAAGCCAAGGCCAAGTTCACGTACGTGGACTATCAAAAGCTGGATGACCCCGATCATAAGCATTACCGTGATGTGGATGTTGAGGGCCTGCGCAGCTTGAAGAAGCATCTTATCCGGGAGTACCATCAAGGATACTCCATCGACTTCCCTGAGTACAAAACCGGAGCTAGTGAAGGCTTACCCAGCGGTGAACCCGCACTGGCTTATCTCGAACAGGAACATCGACAGCAAGTCCACCGCTTAATCTACGTCATACTCCGCCGACACCACCGGCTGAGTCTGTCGCGAAAAGCAGCGGAGAAGCGGGCCACCGCGCAGGCTGCAGGTAGTACTGGTGACGGCAACGCAATGGATATTCTATCCGAGAACCCGCCGGCAAATGTATTCCAACCCCAGCTGCCATCCACCGATGAAATGAGGCAGTTGAAGCTTGCCTCTTGGTCCAAGGCTCCTTCTCCAAAGTCCATCGAGGGGCAGGAGCGCACATTCCAATGTCCATACTGCAGTGACATGCTCCTTGAGGCTGACTCGGAGCGCACGGCATGGTAGTAAGTTTCCAACCAACCCCTAGGACCCGACAACGAGAGAAGAATCTATCAGCTAACTATTCGAATAGCGAACATGTAAGCCACGATCTTCTACCATTCACATGTCTCTGGTCATGCTGCAAGCAGGAAGACCCGAAGGAATTCGCGAACGTGGTTGAATTGACAGCCCACCTCGAAGAGAATTTCGGGACCGTCGAACACTGGGTGTGTGATGCCTGTCTTTCCCAGGGAAAGTCCTGCAACAGTTGCGAGTTCACGAACAAGAACGATCTTGACAAGCATCTTGCTTCGTTTCATCGGAACAAGAGTAAGAGTTCGACACCGACCACTAGGTTAGAGGTCCCCAGCCAATGCCCGCTGTGCCCTCGGAAGCTCATCTACAAGAATCGGGGCCCTGACTCGCTTTATCCCCACGTTGCAAATCATATGGAAAGATTCACTACCCTTGCATTGCCGGAGATTGGGGGTGAGCGGTCGGGTCGCTAAGAGGGTAAGCCTACAGCTGCCATGTAGATTGGGAATGGAGTGGGTTGTAGGAGGTTGTTGCTTGTGCTGTAGATGTTATGTTTATGGTATCAGAATGTGAATTGCAGTCTTCGACAAACATCATAACTTCATACTTAGATTTTCTGAGAGAGTGAGGAACAGCGTCGTCTACAATCAATAACCAATAATATATCATCCAGCAACTGTCCCAACCAGAAATGGACCCCACAGCACGAAACGTAATGATATTTCCCCGCGAACTTAAGATCTTCAATCTAAATCTTGTTCAACGTGGGGGCAAACTTTAGACACGGCCAAGCGGAGTAACTATATGACATTCTGGAACCAACCGACCAAGTCAGCGTGGCCACGGATTTGTTCCGTTTCTAGTCTACGGTTAAAACAGTCTTTGTCGGTTGGTATTACTGTTTCACCTACTTTCCTAGAAATATAGTCCTTTCATGACTTTAATCGAGAGCTAGGCTCCTCTCTTACCACATGTCATCTTTCGCCCGAGGGTGAATACTAGTTCCATGAGCTGGGATATGTCGAATACTGATGAATGCGATCATGGAGATAGTAGTCAGTGAGGTGGTGATGGGCTGTAAGAATAAATTTTAATTTAGGCTTTGATGGATAGTTCCTTTTGGGGACAAAGTTCTTTTGTAGAGAGTTCTTGGAAAAGGGAGGATGTTCTTACGTATGCCAATATATATAAGGGGTATTGTTTACTACAAAGACTTATTGAACTCGACCTTCGTTTATTGTCGTTGTTATGTTTCTCTTTTGTTCCCTCTACCCATTAAGAATAGCAGGATTAATCAAGAAACACAATACCTGATCTATCCAAATAACCCAGCAAAAACACCCGTTTGTTGAGCAACTAGTGATTTTGTGTTACAATAAGCAGCCTACGCAATAAGGTTATAAACTAAGTTTAGCACTCTGGATTAGACTTTATCAAGGGTAAATATGTGACAGCTGCATTGTTACACAAGACTAGCCATGGAGTCCATCCAGCCCGAAGGCGGATGAATCCATATCCAAGCCCAAACAGTCTCACAAAAAGAAACCACATCCCGCAAGAGTCTCCCCCGAATACCCTCTTGATTCAAATTAATCCAGGTTAATCTGCAACCCCAATGTAGCATTCATAACGGAGTTACCGTAGAAGAACTCCGTCCTAAATCACACACCATACATTAGCTTCTCTTCACCCAACCCATCTTCTCAATAGAAAGAATAAACTCACCCTCCATTCCCAACATTCACATACGCCTCCTTCGTAAACTTGCCCAACTGGACCAACTCCAACAACCACTCCTTAAGATCACCTTCAAAGGAGCCCTCAAACTGGGTATCAGGCAACAGCGAGCTCACAGTGACGCCCGAATCCTCATTCACGTCCTCGTACAGCTTCCAGGACGTGCCGAAGAGGTTATCAATCGTGGCGACGGCTCCGTTGGTCCAGCCGATAGGGAGCTGTCCACCCTCGTATTGAAGCCAGAGCATGAGTTCGTGGGCAGAGGTGGAGGTGGAGTCGCCCTTTGTGGGGGAGGTGATGAAGTCGAAGCAGACGTTGCCTATACCATTTCCATCATTATCATCATTAGTAATTTGATCATCAGGAAGGTGGGTTTTGAGGGTGAGGTAAGGTAAGGTATGTACCCTTAAACGCAGTAGAATTCGTCCTCGACCAAGTATATTCCGCCGGAATGGACTCAATGGCGGAGATCTTGGTCTCCAGGTTCTGGGTCAGTCCCACGAAGGAGTAGCCCTTTGGGACATTGTTGCTGTACAATCATTAGAAATATTCGGGAACAAGGGATTAAGGGAGGGAGGGAGGGAGGTGGCTTACGTGCTCTCCACATATTCAATATCAGTTACACTACTCCAAACGACCTCCTTCGTGCCATTCGTGGAGGTAGTCATCTCGCCGTAGTCGGTGCACTGGGTACCGACGATCTCATCGGCGTTGTAGAGCATGTTGTATACGATCCATGGCGAGTCCTGGAGGATGATGTAGTCGTAGTCGCCGCAGAGGGAGGTGGAGGCTTGGGTTTGGGCGCGGGTGGTGAGGGCGGGCAGCGCCAGCGCTGAGGAGGCGAGGAGGGGGAGGAGGGTGGTTGGGGTGAGCATTTTTGATATATTCTTAATTTTCTGAAAGAGTGAACGAAGTTGAATAGTAAAGAATGTATGTATGGTTGAATGAAAGAGGAACACGCCAGGTGTGGAGGAAGTTACAGTGTGGAAAAGAGCATGGGATCAGGGTCAGGTTATAAAAGGTTAAGCTTAATATCGGGTGTTTCTAGATGAAACCTTCTGAAACTGCGGTGGAGAACGGAAATGGTCCTTATACGATCTAGCGTCAAATGGGGATCTACGGCATATCAGGGTGCTATGGATACAATATCTTTGTATATTGAGATGTAATTAAATGTGACATACATCGATGAGGGTGGACAATAGGCATGGACACGGTGGAAGAGTATGCTTCAAGTCGGGCGGGTTAGGGTAGCATGTTCCGTCTGACGGACCACTCACTGACCACGACTAAAATTGTAGAAGCCTTGGCGTTGGCATAATATCACTCAGGGATAGGAGTATAATATACTATATTATATCCCTACCAGGGAGACTAGACACTTACCGATGACGACAACATCCCAGAGGGCAGGAGGTGCCGTCCCAGCCGCAGAAAAGATTGCCACAGTACCTAGACCACAACCTCAGCCATCCACACGCACACAAACCACTCATACCTACAAGCTGACGCGTCGAGGCTACACGGATAGTTCGTATCCGAGGATCACGGCCTGCAAGCGAAGGCAACAAAGGCAATCCAGATGCTAGGCAACGAAGGCAGCAAACTGCATACTTAGCCGCACAATGTTATCTACATATTCATCATTGGGGAACTGCATGTTCTGCGGCTGACAGCTGATACCCAATGATCCCCCGAGACACCAGCAGGTTACATGCAAAGCGCTCGATCGGGGGATCGGGAACCAGCGCCCAGCAGGAGAAAAGGAAGCCATTGCCAGGTCTTGGCAGGGACCGATGCCCTGTTTCGGCATGGTGGGTCAGCAGGAAGTGAAAGGGCTGAGCGGATGGAGTGCTGGACAGTCGAGAGAGTTACTCCGTGTAGTTTATAGTGGAGGAGCAAGTAAGACATGTGTCAGGGCTGAAGATTAAAAATTACAAGGTAGCAGCGGGATGTAGTAATTATCCCTGCATGAGCAAGATAGAGGAGGAGGGGATTGTAGATACTCAGCACCGCCACAAAATATCGAATCTCAGATCCTTCGGGGGGCTCGGGGTTCAACCCTTCCCGATGATGGAAGAACCAGATCGAAACCGGTTCACTCAAGTGGGGAAGGGAAAGACACGGGTTCATGCAACGCAAAGTAAATCACATCATGGGTCGCAGCGGATGCGATCGAGTGGATCGGCAGCAGCAAAAAGCAACGCCCGCGAGGCTGTGGCGCATGTAGATCAATATGTGGCTGTGCATTATGGAGGAGGGATGAGGAACAGGAACTCAACTTTTTCATCACATCAATAGCTTTGTTCAGAATCCTTGGCTTGGTCTCAGCTAGCCGGGATATGCTAGATAGATGAGCTGATTGGATGGATCCCCAATCCGAAGGAGCACCATCGTGCCCTACTAGCTGCTGCTGCCCCCCCGGTTCGAGGTGCCCTATATTCGTCTCGGCCCCGAGCCATCTGCGCCCCTCTTGGTTCGTCTGCATCAAGCATAGTGGGATCGCTAGTTCAATCCGGCCAGATAGCCGATCTAAGACAGATTTTACATGCGTGGGGGGCGTTTAACCGGGTGAGACTACGATTTGACCCAAATATTGGTCCCCGTCCTAGTAAGACGAACTCGCCCTAGCAGGGAATATGATCAATAGTGCAGGAATGCAAAGACCAATGAGAACACCGTTACTCTAAACACTAGAATCTGTATGACAACTATACACAGAACATTACGACAACAGATGGCTCGATAAACATATACACATCCAGATTCATACCCCGCTAGCACCCATCACGCGGGCTAAGTCCACTGGTATCAGGCACCCGGTCCCGGTAGGTTTTGGTAGCAAAGTCGAAAAACCGATCTACATCTGCTGTATTCGAGGCCACGCCAAACGATACCCGGATGGCCCCTCCCGACGGAAGACGACCAATGCTGATGTAGGTGTCCATCGGGATTAGGCCCTTGCGGAGACGACGTCGCACACGCCGCAGCGGCCGCGTATCAATCCGTAAAGCCTTCTCTGCAGGCCCTGGATTGCAAAAACAGCCAGTGCGCAGAGAGATCGAGGCAGCTGCTGATTCCTGCCCCACAATCCGCTCATCCACAATATCTCCCTTGGCGTCCAGGAAGTTGAAGCAAATGGTGCCGCCGCGACGCTTGAGGTCGGTGGGCCCGTAAACTTCGGCCATCGGGGAACCGTCGCTGTGACGGAGTTCGAGCAGCCGCTGGAGGAACCAGCCCGTAAGGCAGCGCACTCGGGTGGAGATCAAAGACATGTTCACGCGCTCCAGCCATTCCAGACCCACTTGGACATCTGGAATAGACAGGAAATTCAGGGTGCCATCCTCAAACCCGGCCTCGTCGGCGGCCATGACGTGCCAGGTCAGCGCTACCCCCACCGTCTTGACTGTCCCGCCAGAGAACCAGGGCCGTGAGAGGCGACTAAGTGCATCACGACGAGCAATCAGACAGCCCAGACCGGTGGGGTAGCCGAAGAGTTTGTACCAGCTGACCATGACAAAGTCAGGCTGGGGGTTTTTGGGAGACAGATCCAACTTCTGGGTAGGCAGATATGCCGCAGCGTCTAGGAGCACATCAAAGCCACATTGTTGAGCCAATGTCACCCATTCGAGAGGATGGCGGACTCCACTAAAGTTGCTCTGGGCTGGATAGGCAAATAGTCCCCGATCACGGTTCGGACGGCCTCCTTTGGTCAATGCTAGCCGGTCACGTCCCCACTCCCACCAGTGGCCGCCGAGGACTGATGCCAAAGTAGCCGGACTGACTCGGAGCTCCGGGGACTGCACAGGCACATAGACGGTGCGTGCATGCTTTGCTCGAGCGTACTCCCGGATTCCATTTACAGAATTGTGGTTGTCTGCCGTCAAGATGAACTGCTTCTGCCGGGAGAAGGGGTAGGATTCGCCGACAAGACGCGCTGCTCCCGTAGCATTCTGAGTGAAGATGACGGTATATGTGTCGGGAGAGGCATTAAGATAGGAAAGTACATGGGCGCGCGCCTGCTCGACGAGCCGGGTGGAGTTCTCGCTAGTGGGACTGACGGAGTGCGGGTTGCCAAAGGCCTGCTCCGTGAGGCGTGCATTATGGGCATGATACTGTTCCTTAGCAGCGAGACCAGAACCGGTGTAGTCGAGGTATGTGTGACCCCTTTCGTCCAAGTAGCTATACTGGGTCTCCCGCAGATGATCCAGAGATGTCGTCTGGGCGTATTCAGGGAAGGTATCCAAAATGTTGCTCATCTTGTAAATCTTATGTAGAGGGTAGAAGAACAATGTTATGACCAGATATCTGGACAGGTGGAGGGATGAGTATGGCTGAGGAAGTATGGGAGACTGAATCGGGATGCTAAATAGTCCAGTTTATATGTTGTAGAGTGATGGGAATCACAGGAATTATATAGACAAACAGGCACAAGTATTTGAGAGTGACGAGGAGGGTTGAAGATAGACAGACGAGGAAAGGAGCATGCCAAATCATTATCTCAAAACCCTGTCCAACTCCAACTTCAGCTTTCGTCTTGCTCAAAATGGAAACATGATGAATGGGGGCTAGGTGAAGGGCTCTACAGAGATACAGCTCTCGGTCTAAGGGAAGTGAAGGACAGAGCTGGCGCCGAGCGGTGCCTGAACGGGCCATTGCTGAGATGTGATGGCTAGTGAGTGGTGCCCTACAGGCCAGACGGGTATTGTAGTCGAGAGCCACTAGGAAGCACTAGACGCTCCGATCGACCCCCATGATGCTGTCAGATGAACTCTCGTCCGTCAGCCTCAAGCTAACACGAACGGCCTGTTCACGCCCCATGGTTCGTGCTACCCTGTCCCCTTCTCTCCCCCAGTCAGGTCGCTGCAAGCCACCCTCACAGCAGATCAAAAAAGTTTCCCTTGCACGGCCTCTGCTGCAGGTCCCAGTCACATCCGCTGCGTAATCCCTGAGCTCTCATCGCCCCATTTCCAACAACGGCCCCGTCATGGCATCTTTCCTAAACCTGACAATCCATGGCTGGCGGCTACAACCGCTCGTCTTTCCAAGCCAACGATGTTATCACCGGAGATGGTAACCCCGAATTTGCCACCAAAGGACTTCAGATAAGCAGGACTGGGCTGGCTGAAGGGCACCCTTCTTCGTGTCCCATCACACCTGTCGGCTCTCTACAATCCGGATCGCCTATACCAGCTGGATGCGATCGACAATGCCACGCGCTGATCAACGGCCACAGTAGTTGACTAGATCAGCGAATCGAATGAGTCCTACCTTTTGTAGTAAGACCTGGACATGGGATAGGGTTTTTCGTTCAGATGGAGGCCGAACAAAGGCATTATTGAATCTACGCACACTCCAGTGTGAGCTGCCAGCCAATAGGATTGGTGAATGCTGTTAGCAATCCGAAGTCAAGTTTCTCCGGAAGGCAGCATATGCTACGCTATCTGCAATCGCGTGCACTCGAGCATACTAGCCAAACTCTGTCGCAGATAGCGCACGCGCAACGCGCTGATTAATTCTGAGGGAGGGGGGAAGGGTGGCATCCCCTCACGGCGTCATCTCGAGGCTCAGCCATACATCCTCGCGCTGGCTTGCCGTCCTGGAGAAAGAGCCAAGACCTAATCTTACCTGCAAAGAAACCCGCCAACCTGATTATCTCTGTTCACATGTAAGAACGTTCGGATGAGGCTCTGTCGCACCGGGGGATTGCTCATCAGTCTGACGGGGGATGTGACCTTCAAACACTCCCGAGCAGTAAACCCCTGGGCACTTCTGTCAGAGCAATCACAATGACTATCATGTCGGCTAAATTCCATGATGACGGCTTCCCAACAACCGGCTATGTTCTCGGGAGAGGACAGGATTCGTTGTTGACATAGTAAGGACATCAGCTATCTGGACTGCATGCGGTGGGGTCTGGAATTAATGGACGACCGTGCGCGCCTTGACCAGCAGGGTTCGCGTTGGTGGTAAGGGGAGTGTGGCTGTCGCGAATAAGTTGTTGAGACGAAGGATGGAAGGAGGGCAAGGCGAAAGAAGGGCAAAAGAGAAGGAGGGGATCACGCAGTGGAGAGGAAACAAGAGGGACTCCGGCCCGACCCGTTCATCTGCCCGCACTGTCTTTTCTCTTCTGTTCTCATTTCCTCATGAAGTCTTTTCCTAGCACAAACATGCTGTTCCTATCGCCTTGAAGTATGGGGGGAAAGTTCTGAATGAATCATACTGAATCGGGCGCCAACTCCTCTCAACAAAGTTACCAATTTATCCCCAATTATAGGATGCTCTCCGTACCCCACCAGTTCCTTAACATCGCGATTCGAAACCGAACCCTCTCCGATGCATCTTCAAGACGCCAACGTCACTTGCAATGGTTGGATCAACCCGGGTCACGAAAATTGCCATGAATTCATTGGTGTATCTCATATGCGACCGTATCTAGAGTCCGATGGTAGCGGTCAGTGATAGTCGATTCGGACCCGAGGCACCCATGCTCCCTATACTATCTCTATTCCCATTGCTAAGCTCATTCTTGTGATGAATAGGTCGTCCCTCTATCACTCCATTATTTGTCAGTAACCCCGGTCGGATTGCAATCTGGGCTGATGTGATGCAAGGATGACGCGCTATTCAAATAACAACCACGTGGGTCAGGGTAAGAAAGGGATACGGGCATACTGCTAATGTCAGGGACAGTCATTCATCCAGCAGCCAAATGGATATGTCTAGAAGCTATGCGTAACATCAAGCCAGGATACACAGTGTGACTGGTCTACATGTTCACACCAGCAGGTCAGGGCTAAGATTGCAACACGTACTGGAGGGATTAAAGGTTGCTACGAACGCATAACGCTAGCCACAGCAGCGACGATGATAACGTCGTGAACCTTAGATAAGCGCCCTATCAGACATGCAGGTAATTATGCTAGCGAAAAGTCTCTCAATTGTCAACGGGCCTATCGAGATATCACGAGGACAATTCGCTGGACTGCATTAGCAACGATGGAAAAGGGGCGAGACGGAGCATTCCCTGCCACCTGCACATTTCCGCAACTATTCAATTTGCCTTTACACCCACGACAGACCGATCGTGAACGAAATAGTTGGGAGAGTGCTAGGCCAGGTTTATAACAACCGCACTAAGGGAATCCCCCATTCCATTCAATGGTCGGGAAATCCAAATAAGTCACGACCTAGACCGACTCCACCTGCAGTGCGAAAAAATACCCAATGATAGTGAAGGTCTATTTCTCTATACCTACGATGTTACTGAGCATTTCGGGGGATGCAGATATACCACTTTGACGAGCACCTAGTCCGTGTTATCGGTATCCAAGTTCGCCTAGAGGGAAGACCGGAAAGTATTTGCGTGCAACAGAACAAGCTCACTAATTTTTTGAGGGCGATTGATAACCCCTCTGAAGTAATACAGCAGAGAAATCCCCATAGAGCCTTAACGGGGCGGGATAACAGGCATTCATGTTACGCATGCAGTAAGCCTCATAGCCACATCGAAGGATCACAACAGGCGCACTCCACGAATCCACAAATGATATGTGCTTCATATGACAACCGGAAAAGGCTTGGAAGTCTGCCGCTTCGGGAAATTTTGAGCATCGCAGCTTATTGGTCAAGACGACAACACAGTCACGGAAACTGACGTCGAATTATTGCCCACCAATCGGTGACTGACAGAGGGGCTGCGATAAATATAGGCTTGTAATGGTGGTGATTTGTCATTCCGCGAGTGTCACTCCAGACTTGCAGACGACTTAACACATTCGTAACATGTGAAAGAGTTGTCCTATTTGACATGAAAGTCTAGTCTAGCTCTAATTCCGCGCATGTTTATTTGCATACTAGCTTCAGCCTTTGTCGGGCGGAGGAAGCACTGACATAGGCTAAACGTAAACGTTCCAGATAGATCCGATCATTGTGCTGGAGTCGATGAGACTCGCTCTACTGACCAGATTTATAACTAAAGGAGGTTTACTTGCCGAAGCAAATTAGCTACCAAATTCCATATACCTGAAATGTGAATACCGTAGCGCAGCCCAACGTGTTCTATTTTGGTTTGTACTTGTCTAAAAGTCCGGCAAGCCCTATCCTTATATATATATTACCTTGTTTCTTTCCATGATCAGGCAGAAGCGCTTCAAGACTCATTTAGATATATATCATACAAACCCTGACATATCTGATGTTTGATGTCGGTAGCGGATTATGTTCGTCCAGTCTATATATTTCTATTCGCCCCGATAAGACTAAGTCATGACATCTAGACAAGTAGAAGGGGGCCTATGCCTTTCAGATTTCGAAAACAATCTTGCTTTGATATCGCAAAGTTTTACAGTATATCAGGCCCTCCCATGTGGCTTTCCGATAAACTAACATGTGCTAAGGAGACAGCAGAAGAACGATAGCCAAGAAAGTTTGAGGTCTGTCGCCTCCCGAAGTGGCTTAAGCGCACAGTATGAAGTTCGGAATGGGACGCATGTTAGAGATAATGCGATACAAGATGTCAGCAAGACTCTTACCTGGTTGTTGGGACCAGCTGAGTCTGAGTAATATATGGCAATGATCAGCATACCGGCTTTCGAGGTGTATATATAAACGGGATCTCAATGCATGCAACCATACAAGTCGATTACTTTACGTGCCACCTATCAGAGGCCTGAAAGACATATTCCATAGTCTACTCATTATCAACGGAGTCATGCTTGGGCTCCGTGTTTGAAGTGGCGCCAAACCAATTGATCATGCAGCAGATCCTTCTACGCATGGCGTTTACAGTGACAGGAATATATGCGGACAGTATTTCCTTACACCGAAGAAGCAATATGCTTATCATAACGGTATCCCCAGACTCTCCAAATGACTACCCAAATGTAACCGTGGCAGCGAATCAAGCACAGCCCAATTCAATCGACAGCCATGAAATCTGCACAAAGAAAGGATTATGCTTTCGGGGAGTATCAAGATTACGGCGCCAAGATCATCACCATGATATCAGCGGCCGGACTTAGTGGCCGGACTTAACGAGCAAATCCCAGGGATATTTGAACATCGCACACTGACCATCTTCGGACTCCGTTCTTTGTTCCGAGCTGCAGAGTCTCGCTGCTCGGTCTCCGTGAGAATACGAGTGACTCCTTTGTCCCGTACAAATTGCGAGGACTCGTGCGCCACCACCTTGCAGCGACAACTCCCAGCAACAACAGAATTAAACCAAGCCAGAACTACCTCAACCACAAATGTCCAGGATCCTAGTGGTAGTAGGCGCCACCGGCCAACAAGGCAGCTCCATCATCCACACTATCCTCTCCGACCCCAAACTAAGCCAGGAGTATAC